AGAATATTGTTCGCATAGACGTGTTCTTCTAAACTTTAATATTGGAATATTTTAACATCTTGAGAAAATTCACCTTAATAACAATTCTTTTAGGATTTCAGTACGGATGCCAATGTTTATCGACTGGTTATCCAAATATACCATGAATGCAAATTTTCAACTTGACGCACGCTTTACAGACAAGTGGATGGGGTGGAGATAGGCTCCCCACTGGGTCCCACTTTGGCTGATTTCTTTCTAAGTCAACTAGAAAATGGACCTTTGAACAACCCTATCAGAAATTTCTCATTTTATTGCCGGTATATGGATTACACCTTCATTCTGTGATAATAATTTGGATAGGAGTACAATAATTACTGAATTCAATGAAGTACACTTAGCTATGAAATTCACGTGCTAAGAGGAATCCCGAAACAGAATTGCCTGTCTGGATATCCTCCTTACAATAAAATTAGATGGTAGCATAAAAAGAAATTTGCATAGAAAAAGTACCTGGACAGGACAATATACACATTTTCACAGCTTTGTTCCTCTGCAGTACAAAAGAAGTTTAGTACAGACCCTCAGCCGCAGAGTTAGAGCTATATACTCAGAAAAAGTAACTGAGGATGAATTAGGCATTGTATGTGATGCTTTGATCGAAAATAGCTATCCCGACAAATTTATCAAGAAACATATGACAAAGAAAGAGGAAAAGGACTACTCACTATCCGTAAACAACAAGCCTCTTTATATACGACTGCAATTCAAGGGCGATATACAAAGTAAAATAATTACGAAGAAATTACGAAAATCAGTTCAAAGAACTTTTAATGCTGGTGAACTACACGTCTTATTCTCTACACGACCGATGGTGGTTCCTCAGGTGAAAGATGAAGTACGGAGACTAGCCACTTTAAATTGTATCCACCAATTCGACTACGCTTGTATGGCGAGTTCATCTAGGAACTTGAATTTTTGTGGTCGCTCGAGAACATCTTTCACTATGGCTAAGTAAAGGTGTAGTTGAAACCATTAACAGTTTGATATTGGACCATCTGGTGCAAACTGGCCACAAAGCTAGCGTGGAAGAATCCTTCTTAATCGTCTACCGGGTGTCCAATAAATTCCCAAGAACATCGAAGCACCGCATGCTCCAAACATCAGAGGCTATTGCGATTCACCTCAAACAACCAATGCTCTGTGTTCAAAAGAAACAAGTCCAGCCCCTACTAATCCTCTGGCCTTCAGTAGAAACTATAAATTCACGAATTTGTAATATTATCTTTCCTAATTTTTCTGACATTCAGCTTATTTTATGTTTATGCTATTGGGCTGTAATTTATCAATATTATTGATTCGATGTTATTTAGACATTAATGTTGTTCATAACACTAATTCATTCATTCACTATAATGTATATATAACTGTAGAGTCTGATGATGAAGTTACCCAAAAGAGTATTCTTTGTGCAGTATCCATTCTTTTGTAAATCTTGAGAAAAATAAAAAACGGAAACTACGGTGAAATTTCATCACTCGAAGTGTGTAGATACCGAATCGCTAACCAATTTGCAAATCGTGAATGTGATTTACATGTTTACTGCGTTGAAATCTGAACATATCCCTAAGTTCTTCACAAATAAACTCAGTAGTTAATGGAATCCAGCTCCGCTTCGACTTAGACTGACTGAGTTTCAACACAGAACCCTGCACAAAATTGCAACTGTTCAAGTTTCCACAATCCACACTGTAAACAAAGTTAGACAAAATAGATTCAAAAAAACTATCATGAGCAGATATGTACGATTAAAAAAAATGATTACATGGGCAAACACAAGACCTTAATTGATCCGGTAAATTACAAAACGTGAATCCATCTGGATCATTGAGAACGATTTTCAGCCAAAAGAAAAATGTCTCCAGCCGCTGACCTTTAGTATACCAAGGACCCAAACTATGCAGCCTACACCTGCTCACTTGACTAGCATAGCCAAATTGTCAAAGTCTTCATGAATTGATGATAACTTTTGGTATGAAACCGATAGCCTTTTTCCAATACAAAGGACACTTGGAGGAGCTAATTAATGGGCCTACAGCAACACTCAACTTACCCAGTAACCAACACTTCCCTGAATGGGGTATATAAACAGATCCTCTGTCCCTAACTGTCACTAATCTGAGACGAGGCAAAGCAGTGGGGTCTGATGGAGTGACTCCAGAGTTATTTAAGGATAGTGGAGATACTTTACTGTCTGCGTTAACTAAGGTATTAGGCAGCATCTGGGAATCAAAGGAAGTCCCGTCGGGTTGGTCATTGATTATCCCGATATTCAGGAAGGAAGACAAGTCTTCTTGTGATAGTTACAGGGGGATTAGCTTAACTAATATGGTATCTAAAGTTCTAGGCTCAATAATCACGTGTGGACTAAGTGGTGCTCGGGAGGAAAAAAACGAGAGAATCAGACAGACTTAAGACCAGGAAGAGGGTGTATTGATCATATCTTCACCCTTGGGCATATTCTGGAACATAGGCATTTTTTTATATTTTTGGTTACAGCATACTTACCGCTGTCCAATAATCGTCATATTTCTTGACGTGAAAGTGGATTCGATTTCGTCTACGGAGAGGTGTAGTAGGGCGTTTTGCTGTGAAGAGAATGTCGAGAAAATACATTGCACTGATCATGGCACTCCACTCGAACTCGTGCAGCCAGATGAGAGCTTATGGCGAGTTGTCCTCCGAATTCGTGGCAACCAGTGGTGTCCACTGTCTCTATTTCTGTTTAATTTCATTATAGATGTACTAACGAAATTGTCCCTAACTGATTTCAACGACTCAGGGATTGACTTGTTACCATTAGGAAATAATCGTCTCATTGATTTATAATATACAGATGATATAGTCCTGCTCCTAGGTGAAGACGCTGACAAAAATGCAGAGTCTTCTGAACACCTTGAGCTAAGCAGCAATCCCCGAATGTTTGGCAGGCGATTGGTTCCAATCAAATGTAAGATAACGCTACAGGATTGGACTACATCGATTCATTCCTAGCTTAGAGATAGGGAATGAAGTGGTTGCTGAGCGTGTTGACCACTTCATTAGTTTGGGAAGTTGCATCAACCAGTACCAGCGGGTCGATTGCTGACGATATCTCAGCATGAAGGCAGAAGGATGGTTTCACACATGCCCACCAACTTACGCCATCTCTGGTGTAGACGTGATAATCCGCTAGCTATCGACCATAAGGCGTGCTCACCAGTTCGCTCTGTCCTCCTTCATGGCTGTGAGCGAGACCTGGCCATTGAGGGTGGAAGACATAAAACGCCCGGCTAGATGTCTCTGATCACATGTGTCTGCGTTTCATCTCTCGTGTTAAGTGGTATATTACGGTGGGCAATATCGAGGTTAGGCGTCGAGTGTTAAGTGAGGAGGGGAAATCAATCAACGAGGCTATGAAGTTACATCGGGTGAGATGGTTAGCACATGCATTACCTACGCCTAGCCATCGTCTTCCTCGAAGAGAAGTGTTAACTGACATAGGGTCAGGTTGGAAATGAGCCAGTGGTGGTCAAACCAAAACATGGCCTCATCAGTCAATGAAATCCACAGCAGTCAGTTTAAGCCATACAGGGAGGGGTGGACTTCCTGGTTGGGGTCATCGGAACGGGAAAAGACAATGACTTGTGACAATTGATGATATGGCTCAAAATCGTTATCAATGGCGTAGACGCATCCACTACTTGTGACTTATAATACCCAATAAAAGTATATGGTTCTTCGATATTACTATTCTTTTTGCCTCATATCTCTGTTTACTGTTTCTATTTTGTTTTTTTTATGACCTTCTTCTCTGGTATTTTGTGCCAAGTCAAGTGTGGAGACTCGAACTGCTGCATACCGGTGCAAAATTCTGCACTGAAGCCAGTTGGCGAATAAGTGTTTTCAATTAATAAAAAGCCGTGTAACCTTCTCATAAATATTAATAAAATTATAAGCAAATTTTTATTCACAACATAAATGTACAATGACTTCTCATACAATCAGTAAATCAGTGGTGATTACGAATGATGATCAAAAGGCTTTTTTCAAAGATTTTCTTACTCTGACAAACATAAAGACTCAGTGTAGACAATGAAACAAAGCGAAATAAACACATCATGGTAACCTTGGAAGGTATGACCAATTTCCACAGCATTGCATAATTATTTGCAATACACTAACCAAAAGAAAGTAGAGGAATGTGAAGTCCTGTATGTCATGGAGTAGGTTCTGATCTGAAGTCTGCGTAGAAAATACGCTCACAAAAATTGTCAGGAAGTGGTCCAAACATCAAAGTTAAAACCCTCTCCACATCGGCCTAAACCCGCTCTTGCCTCCCCCGACGGGCATTACTAGCTGATATATGTGCAGGCTGGAAATGAGTAAGTGGTGGCCAAACAAAAACATGGCTTCATCAATCCATGAAGTCCTTGACAGTTAAACTGAGTCAGGTAGGGAGATGCAGACTTCTGGGTTGAAGCCCTCGGGACTCTAGGAATCAATGTCTGGAGACAATAGGTGACATGGCTCAAAATCGTTGTCAATGGCCAGCACAGATGTATTCAGTCTCTGTAATCTTTCATAATCCTTTTAACCATTACCCATTCTGTTTCACTCTTATACTTGTCGAACTCTATTGATTCTCTTCACTCATCTTCTTGTCTACCTCTGTGTGCTATTTGGAACGTGGCAACTCGAACTGCTGCACTTCGGTGCCAAGTTCTATGTTGAATACAGACAGACAGACAAACCCGCTCTCAGATCAGTTTTGTCTACCAGAAACCATTTTAACTTTAAGACGAGGAATTATGAAGCTGTCCTCCCAAGTCATAAACTCATTTTAGTAGATCCTGTACTAAAATATTCCGCAAATATCACTAATATAATGCTATTTATTCAGTTTGGGCGTCACCTCTTAACTCACGTAAACAGGAATGAAGAGCGAAAAGTTTTGACATAACACAATGAAGGATACTTACTGAAGAATTAATATGTATGTCACATTTTGGGTCGCGCCCAACAGTTACATATTCTGAAACGGATAAAGTGTCAAAACAGCGTGGACTTACTCTTTACAAGAGGGAACTCATTTATTTTTTCTCCAACAGAATGAACACACAGAACAGGAACCTAAGAGGTGAATATACACATCTGTAAAAGGCTATCTGTACCTCACTAACTGGTTTGTTGAACGCGGAATTATTTGCATTGGCTGTTGGCTGAGTACTGCAAAACTCCTCCATCAAGCAAATTAGGATCTCCCTAAATAAAAGGATTGTAAATATAATCTGCTCGTGAACAAAACTAACCCAAGATGACAATGAGTTTAGAAAAAGTTAAATCACAGAATTCTGGATATACCTCACGTTTACACGTATTATAAGCGAAGCACTCACATGCAAGTCAAGCACAAACATGGAACTGCGACTTCGCAAACAAACAGATAAAATCAGAATCCTGTTAATAGCTTAAGCTTAGGTTGCCACATTTCGAAGCGGAAGAAAACAAACGGCATATAAGGCACACTAAGTTGAACAGACACGTGACTGAAGGCGAAATGCTTAGTTTAGAACACGATACTACCACAATCGAAAATGCATATCAGGCACGGTCATGAGACCCCCCATTAACAACAATAGTGAGAACTTAATATTGAAAGAAAGGGTGTCAGTAAAAGCTGACTCTGTTATGTTTGAGTTCAGAACATATTGTCAACAAATTAAATAAAATGGCCCAAAAATGAAAGCTCTATTTCTTGGTGCTGTAGTTTTTTTTATAATCCTTAACTTTCCCAACCAAACCCTAGATGGGGCGACATAGATTTTCAGGGGAACAGATGGCCTGGTCTGTTCTAGGCACTTCTATCACACACATGGATTTTCCTCCATACCTAACGCTTCCCCTATTAGTTGACCCATGATACGCACGTCCTCTAGTGGATAACTGAAAACTACATTTGCGCTTGACGTGGCTGATGCTGATAAATGTTAAATCAACTTTTCCTATATGTGCTCATAAATCATCATCACCCTTTACATTTGAGCTGATGCCAGCTCCTAAATATAGACAAGCCGTCAACGCATTCCACCTATTTCGACAACGATGAGTAACTGACTTTAAGGACACTTTATCAAGTGAAGTCATTTCTCCACAGCAAAACGTATAACAGAAATAGAATGATGGGAATTAAATCTGATATAGGGTTAGCTCTTATCACTTAGAGTGATAGTCTGCTATGTAGCTGCCATAATAGACTTTATCTTCACCCCATTGACAAACATATGTAAAATTCTCATAACAAATGCCTTTAACAAGTCCCATGTGTTCTTGGAATTGTGAATAATGGGGATCAGCCGAATCCGGTCGAAGAACTAATGCCTTGGTGTAGACTTCAGTCCATGACAAAACAAGCTGGATGAATTTAAATACATAAATCTGTACTGCTTAGATAGGTTTTCCAGGGACATATAAGAGAAAGCCAGTGCGTAGGAATATCTTCGATTTTCACACAAACAGCTCTTTAATTTGCATGCAATCACTACAACCTCAGTTGATCGAGGTCATTATGCCCGTTTCCTTGCGCCTTCTGTTTCAGTCGCTTTAGTTTATAGTTACCCATATGTTTTTTGTTCATCGAACTTCGCGTAGTCGTCGTAGAGCAGGGTGAGCATGTGCTCACAAATTCAAGACCACGCCAACCACGCGGAATCTTAGCCTATACATTACTTACCACAACTCAGCAGAGAATACCTCAAATTCGGCGCCTTTGACAATTACACTATGTAAGTAGCTCACACAAATCTACTATTCACACCTTCAATGTATGTGATTAGAAGTCTTACAACCCATCTCATTTCCTTTATATGAAATTTGCGTGGTTAGCTGGCTTCAAAGTTCTGCTTTGTGACTGAACAACAATGCAACGTAATTGTGAGTCTTAATCCTACGTTATAATGCAGGGTGATCCGGAAGGGAAGGCTTCAGTGTGTGTCATATGTAAGTTTTATGTACATTTGTCTCATATGCACAACTGTAAAGACTATGGGAGCAGCTTCTGACATGAAACACAAAACAGTGCCCCCAATAAGTCAACCAGCCCGACACACTGTCGAACAAGAGAAGGAATAATAATCCCGAAAGCGAAGCAAGAGTGTGTGCTATAAAAAGAAATACGGAGTTGTGTATGAATATTCAAAGTACAAGTTCAGCGTCCAGTCACTTATTTTTAGTCCATTTCCAGCGTTCGACAACTAGTTAGCTGAATTCACGTTGCCCGTATCTTCGACATAAAAGAAAGAAATAACATTGTATCACAATTATGTGATACACGTATTAGTCTCTTATGTGCTAGACAGCCACGTGTGGGCTTTGCGTACAAGTCCTCAAGCCATTAGATACATACCACGCTTCTAATAATTTACAAAAAATTTTTATTTCTATACGAATTAAACACAAAATAGCATGTATTAGGCACCCGCCTCCTCTTTTGTCCAATCTATCATTCCTGTGGATGTCACAGTTATCGGTTATCACCTTTGTGTCAGGTATATTATTAGTTAGCTACGTTTCAGTCACCAGTATCACTGCCGGCCTTTCTAAGTCTACCAAGCTGCGAAGATGATTTATTTTGTTAAGGAGAGATCGAGCATTTAAGAGCATAATTTTCAGAAAACCAGGATTGATTGGAGGATAGTTGGTAGGTTTTCTTGTTACTACCCCTAACTACTGGTTGCTTATGTTATGTTTGGAGGGGTTCTCAGATGAGGTGGCGTCAGCGTGTCTACTATTCCATGAACAAACCGTGCTGCGAGAGGAGCTATTGTTTGCTGCAGCTGAAAATAATGCTGTTACACATATTGGTTTCTGGCATCATTACATCGACATCTGGAATCATTTCTCGGCCTTAGATAGTCTGTTTCACTGTTCAGATTGTAATTTACAGGGTGGAAGTACCCTGTTTTTAGGTTGTCTTAGGGGTAGTGCGTGCTAGGTCTTTCGTAGTTGTACATTAGTTGGCTCATTTCGTGTCTGTGCATAGAAGGACCGTGAGCCAATCTGAGCCCGTTATGCAGATGGGATTTAAGTAACTACTACGAGGATTTGCGAATACATTCCCGTTCACATGGTACATAGTGCTGTTCTGTCTAGTTGCCCATGTGTTTTTACTATTCGTTATGGCTCCCGTTCTATGGTTATACGTGCCTATAGGCATATTACAACTTCAGCCATTACGGAAATCGTGGGTCTCACTCTGCTATTTAACCAGTTCGGCACCACTTGAGTGTCTCCTAGCGTGTGGTTTTGTGTGGATAATGCTATATTTGCTGTTTGTTCTCACCTCGTGTAGTCTGTCACCCACAGTCTGTCCATTACTCTTACTTCGAAGAAGGGCACTTCCACTCACCAGCTCCATCTCCTTTATGAGACTTGCCGTAATGCCTGCATAGTTCTTTTTTATGCTTACATGCTGTTCGTGGGGCTTTTCACAAGGGTGGTATATGAACGCCTGTGGAGACACTTTGGTTTGTGGGAACTATTCTCCGGCTTTTGCAGTGAGACTTTCCTGCTTGGCCCTGAGTGCAGTGTGATCTGGTGATATTTGCAGGTTATCGGTCGTGGGAGCATCTATGTCTACTTCATATTTGGGGGGGGTAGATTTCCTAGGAGTGTTCTCATGACTTTCGAGACCCATTCCAGTATTACTGCTCCTTTTGGGTATAACCTCACCTTGACGAGTCGTTTGTTCACTTAGTATAGTGCGAGTGTCACTTTGTGCTTCAGTGTCATCCGGTACTTAGGCTTTGGCGCTATTCATTTTTGTACATAAAGTGATCTTAGCTACTAGTCGTTGGTTGGGGTTCTATCCGAGACTATTTTAACATTTTTGAATTATGTAGTGGCGATCAAAATATCCCCAGGTTTCCCAAAGTGTTCGGACATTATACAGCTGTCAAATCTGGAAAGTATGGGGCACGTGCGGTCTGACTCTTTTTATTTAGTCAAATAGGGAGTACTTAAGAGGTTTGCCGCTCTTAAGAAAAAGTGCTGAACCGACTTTATGGGCTCATTGTCACGTATGTTGTACACTATGGTGTTCTGTTTAGAAGCAAGTCTTTTAAAAACTTCGCTCGAAAAATATTCTATGGCGTTCTTTAGTTCCTTAGCATTTTCCAATTCAGTATGGACCGGTTCAGTCCTCAGTTTAGAGAGTTTTAGGAAAGTGAGATCCATCAATTGCTTTTCCGGATGTAAGATTGTTTTTGGTACCAGGTCAAGTAGATTTAGTTTCGTCCTGAGATCATTTATTTGTACCTGCATACCGTTTATGATGCAGACTAAGCAATTCCTGCCTTCTCTGACAGGATGTCTTCACCTGTATTACAGAGGTTAGCATTATGTCGGAACCGTTTGTATTGGTAAGCTACTAATTACAGCTGATTTAAGGGGTGATAATCCGTCACTAGGTGAACTTAGGCTACTTTATGAATTACTATACTATACTGCTAGAGAAGCTCCTCTTACAAGGTCTCCACATGGATTTCTCAAAAATATGTCCTGAGATACTTGAAATTTCGACTTTTTCAACTGCATCACTGGTATTCCCGGACATATGACACGGTGCCCCACAGCATTCTCATTGAGAAGTCATGCTCATGTGGGATTCGGAATCCATTACTGGACTGTTTAAAGTAGTTTCTAATCAAAAAGGTACAAATGACCAACATCGGGTCACTATTGTCTTATCCTATGCATATCACAGGTGGTGTCAATGGAGTTGAAGATTGAACGATCAATTCTTGGTTGTTTGCTCAAAATCAACTTCCCCAATTTTCGCGGAGGCATCAATACGACAGTCATCGTCTCATCGGTCGCTGTTCAGAAAGAAGTCAGGAGACAACCAATGTGCTGAATCCTGTCTAAATTTTAACATTGACAGATGCGGCTGGATTTGTATCGGCAACAGTAAATCTAACCTAACTCTTGAAGTAAATGGGCGAAAATTATCCAGGCCCAACTCAGTCGTAGATCTCGGTATCAGATACTAGTAATATAACGTTCTCTGAACAAACTGGTTGTGCTAGATGTAAAACATGAAGGCTCCTAGTATGCATAACTCGCAATTTCTTTTGTTGTGAAACTAGGGTTTTAATTTACAATGCATGTGTCCAACCTATTTTAGAATATTGCCCGTTTACTCTTAGCAGACTTCGACAGAATGACAAGCTTTAGTTAGAGGGAGAACGACGGCAGTTTACCTCAAGAACTCTTGGTTTAGAAAGTGGTCTGGAATACTATAAGCGATGCGACAGAATAAGATTAGAAGCACTCTGGAAAAGACGTTGTCAAGGAACTTATCCCTAAGTTCCCATTGTTACGAAGACGCTCCGAACCGATAAATACTATATACTTTCTTCGACTTTAAATCCAAAACACCACTATTGTAAGAAGGAGGTTATATTATTTGGCAATTAAAGCGGAGAACAGTACAAGTCTATAAACAAATATTTTATACAAAATTAGGAAGTACTTTTATTCTTTTTCGGTCATCCTCGTCGAACTTGTACACAATCGAACCATTCGCGTCTTCGAGTCGCCCACCAATGGCTACCAGTTCCAAAAAAAACGTTCAATGTTCACCTACATTGACAGTCGTTTTCATAATAAATATACAATACATTACAGTATCTTACAGCCACAGGGCAGACTTTGACTTTTGATATTTGAGTGGCTCAGTGAATCAGAAGGTACAATGGGCAAATATGCAGACATAACAAGTTGGCGACAGGTTTATTCAGTTCATTACAGTTATAACAAACACGCGACGGGGTTTCATTCAGTACGGTTACAGCAGCTATGAACCTGGATTTCGAGTGAGACTTAAACTGAAATATCCCTGAGAGAAGAACTCAATCATATCTGAGAAGGACGCTATCTGTAGCAACGCCATCCAATGGTCTTTAGATTCCTGAAAGGAAGCATCTAGCATTTAACCACTTCTGTGTGCTCAGATGATCTCTATTGTTACTAAGGAATCGAACATATTAACCGCTCAGTGAGTATTCTATCCAAAAAAGTTGAACAACTCTACCGCGCATTGTCGCAGAAGGGCAGCATTGACTCCAAAAGGAGTGAGACAGTCGGACACATTTGCAGACACTGTCCATTCCACCTTATTAAACATCCGCTTAAAAATGATCCAAAAAGTGAAGAAAAATCTGATAAGGAAAATACTCCTTTGTTTCCTATGCATTGCAGAAGATCTAATCATTCAGATAAATAAACCAAAGTCACGCATAAAAAATTATTTAACCAGGTTAACAGAGTTAACTGATCGTATCTTGCCTGTCCAATGTCGATTGGTTGAATCATAATTGTTCACTGTTGACTGTTTGTGCAGTGCTTGTAATTCTCTGCATTAAGCGTTGAGAAAGAGACTCGAGCTCTCAACACCAATGCCTAAGTTGAGAGAATCATATCAGGACCTGGGTTGTTTGAACTTTTAGGAGAAGTGATTGCTTTCTTAATATTATCAAAAGAAAAGCTGATAATTTCTAAGTTTTTGTGAACGTACAGGGAATAGAGGTTGTGTCAATGCCCTAGAATTTCGAAGTGTAATGGAAGGCTGCAGTTATCTCGCAGCAGTTCTTTGTCGTGGTTGGGTGAGCGATAAATGCAACCTAATAATAGGGTTTGCTGTTTATTTATGTAGAGTGTCACCCATAATGTATCACATATATCCAGGTTGGGGTCATCATAGTGCACAGCTCTGCAGTCAGATTTAACATAGATAATGCATCCTCCACCCCTCCCACCTGATCTGTTCTTCCTGAAAAATGAGTAGCCTTCGCAGTGA